AAAAATTATAAATTATGAATTTTAAAATGTGATAAAAGTGTATAATTATATTTTCAAAAGAAGAAATGACAAATTATGTAGGATTGATCGAAATAGAAATAGTGGACAAATTATGTCAAACGGACCAAAAGGAAAAAATAGATCAATTATGCGGGATAGAGAGAGTATATGTTAAGTAGTTAATTAAATTAATTTATATTTGTTAAGCGTGTTTTGATTCAGTCAGTTTTACCCAAAATAGGTACGTGTCAATTGTTACGGAATAAATAAAAATGAAAAAATATGTTAATTGTTATGAGACGAAAAAATATTTTATTAAAAAGAAAATACTTTTATTTTTTAATATTTATGATAGAACCAAAGAAATCTAAAAAAATTTAAAATTATTGAAAAATATTATTTTTATATTCAAGGTGACTTTTTCAATATTATTTTTCAACTGCAATTTGTAATTTTTCAAAAATAATAACAAAAAATACAATAAACTTTTTATAAAAGTCAAAAAGTTAAAGAAAAACTTCAAATATTCTTTTAAAATAAAATAATATATTTTATATTTTGATAAAATTTTCAATATCACACACACAAAAAAAAAAAAGAATTAATCTATTTAAAAATATTCCGTGAACAGAACCATTATTTATATACAAAATAATTAAATAAAAGCCTCACTTTTATATTTGTCCGGAGATCATCTAAATTCAAGAACGGGATGATTCTCCCTTCCTTTCAAGCCATGGTATGCATGTCCAAATTTTAAAAATATAAAAATAAAAATAAAGTACGAGAATAATTACGGTGCTGATTTGGAAGAATAATATACATAAACAACACACATTCTTATTTTACATAACATATATTGTGTATAATTAAAGTATGTGTTGTTTGTTTATAATTACAATTGTTGTATAAGTGTAAGTCATGTATTAAAATTAATTGTTGTGGATTGTATAATAATATAATACTACCTCCGTCCACCGTCAATCTATCTATTTACTTTTTTGCATATTCATCTTTGAATATTAATTATTATATCAAAACATAGTACAAATCAAGAGAACATGACAAAAATATTTCTATTGGTGTTTTATAATACTAATGTAATGATATACAAATATAAGAATATTTTTAATATTAAAAATAATGACGCCAAATCTAAATAAATATATTAGCAGTGAACGAAGATAATATATATTATTAATTTATATAATATATTTATATTATATTAACATGTATTATTCGTAAATTTTAAGTCAACACTGTGGCGCAGAGGTAAAGTAGAAAAAATAAAAGCATAATTTTGAGGTAAAGTAGAAAAAATAAAAGCATAATTTTTTTTTTGGAAAATCCTAGCTGTCTGAGTTACGTATGCTATGAGTCACTTTTATTGGCTCATGCTTGTGGCCTGTGGGTGATCATCCCACCCGGTCCTCGTCATTTTTCCATTCCGCTGCTACACCAAAGAGTAGTTACATGATTTGACTAGGTCAATTTGGCTTGGCTGTTGGGCTACTTTTCTTAGGTTTTGAGCTATTATTATTGGGCTTTTTTTGGTTTGTGAGAATAATGCACAGTCCAAAAATGAGTGATCATTCTATTTTAGTTTTGGGCTGTACTTTTTTAATTCAACACACGGTCAAAGGTAACGAAATTATATATATGAAAATAAAAATAATTTATTTTTATCGATAATTATATATATTAAATACTACAAAAACAACTAAAACCAAAATTAAACAAACCAAAAAAAATTCAATAAAATAAAATAAATATTAAAACTATTTATTTTATACTCTTTCATTTTAGACAGCTCCACGTCATTTTCTTTTTCTGAAAAATAATAACACATTTTAATTTTATTTTAAATACATTTTTAATTATTACTAATTATATTTATCGTAAATTCTTATGTTTACCGTGACAGAGTATTATGTATATAAAAAAGTTAATTAAGAGTTTTTCTTTAGACCTATTAAGAACTTAAAAATAACTTTGCTAGCTCGGTTGGTGCACTTATTAGATATTTGAACACGAATCAATGACTAAGAACTGATTTCTCAACATCTGTGCCTATAATTCACTAGCTGTTCGACAATATCAATTTTTATCATAAGTGATAAATAATATTCATTCTTACCTACAATATTTTCGCTATTTCAATTTCAATTGTTCACTTCAAATCTACATTTCACAATAACGAAAGGATTGTTAGCCTCCCTCTTAGTAGGCTTATTCTTTCTAATTTGGAATCCTTGGTATGTTTGTTTGTTAGGGTTTCTTCAACCGACTTCAAACTTAGAGAAATACTCTATTATTGGAGCAAAATCCCTCCAAGTGGCTTTATTTCTTTCTCTATTTTTGGAGGAATCTATAGTGTCCCTAAAAACATGTATGAACACCTTAGCATTCTCTGAAAATGGAGGATAATTTTTTTTTTTTTTTTTTTATGATTTGGTTCTCAAATTTTTTTATTTTATATTGTTTTATAACTTATAAATTAGATATAAATATTTATATTACAAAATATATGTTAATATTGAAATATAAAATTATATTATATTATAATTAATAAAAAAAATTTATTGGGGTTAATATATGAATAATAAAAGTTGAATAAAATTATGTAATTGTGTAAAATAAAGAATATATATAGAATATTTTTTTAGAGGAAAAAATAGAGTGGGTTGAAGTAAAGATAAAATTTAGAGAAAAATAGAACATTCCGTTGAAGATGGTCTTATGGTGTGATATATTCCCTCCGTACTATTTTCTATTTTTGTTTGTCCAGTAATAATTGATACTTTTAAATCATATAGTTTAAAAAATTTTATTCTCTACAAAATGATATTCACTTTAAACATATAGTTTAATTTTTTTAATCATATATATTAAATTTACTTTAAAATTATAAATATTATTAATTACATAAAAAAAAATAATTTAATAATATCATAACTCATTATTATTAATTAATTAAATATTCTTACCTTAAAAACGTATCCCTAATGAATTCACTTACCTTGTGTGTTGGTTTACAATTTTAGACGATCGAATGCAAAATTTTAATAATAGTAGAAGTTCCATTACAAATATAAATAAAAAAATTGTTATTGTTTAATGACTTTGACGGTGAAGATGATATACAATGAATGATTTAGACAATTATAGTGATTTCTCCTATAGAAAAAAAATAATAATTAAAAAAGACTTATTTTAGAATATTGTTCATTTTTACTTTTTAAAATGTCACTTCAAATTTATATATATTTATTTATATGATTATGTATGAAAATTAAATTCAGTTGAGGTAAAAAAAAAAAAATACAATTACCTAAAAGATCGAACAAGAATAAATAATTAATCGGTCAAAAAAAAATTTTAAGTAATGATAATTTGTGAAAAAATATTTTTGATAATTTTTTTTAAAAAAATTATGAATTATATACTATATTTTATAAGATTATATGTTAGTACTTTTTTTCAAAAATAGTAAAAATTAAATTCTTAGAATAATAAATTTAATATGATCTTTGTAAAATTGAAATAATATAATTTTCAAAAATTAAAAAAATTAAAAAGTACAAAAAAGATTTAAAAAATAATAATAATACTACAACATTCATTTCTTCATCGGATATGCGAGAAAAATGAAACAAAGACCCCATAAGTGAAGTGAACATATGGTATTACTCAATGAAATAAATAATAAGAAGCAAGGCAGTGCTCAATCAAACTAACTATGCTTGGTCAATCAGTGAAACTCATCATTCTCGCCAATATTGTAAAGAACTTAGGTCAATCAAGGTGGATCATCAGGTATATGACACATTTTGCAACAAGTAATTTGTGATTTTGGACAAAAAGTGTGTTCCAAACCTGTGCGTTACTGATGAAGACGATATTGCACGACTATTTTGACAATATTGCACAAAGATGGGTGCGATAGATCAAGAAACAATTAGCAATACCTACACAGAACAAGGAACTTCCGCAAGCAGGCTTAATGGAAAGAAACATCACACTTGGCATTGCCAAAATCATGGGAAGACAAATTGTCAAAGTGGAAACATAATGTGTCGTCAAATAATTTTAAATTTTAAGTATCCATTGACATTACCAACAGTGAGCAAGTATATACCAACATTGGCAGGCACAGAACAAGAAACATCGAAAAGCCAGTTTAATGAACAGAATTATCACAGTTAATGCCATCATAAATAAGGGAAGCCAAAAATCATTAAAGTGGAAAACATTTTTCGACACCAAACAATTTTAACTGGCAACCGCCCGCTGTTATTACCAACCGGGAGCAAGTACATATACCAATATGGGCAGGCACAGTAGAACAGATTATGGAGGTAATGAATGCATTTAACAAGAAATGAACTATCCATGTCATCATACTAAACAGTTGCAAGCACACTTACAGAAGGCACAAGTGGGTGTGACGCCATTGTTCATTTCATCTTGCTTCGCTGGAAAGATTAGAATATTTACAGGTCCACTTCCATGACTTCTGTGGGGTAAGAGGAAAACAAGGTTTTCTCTGTTGCTGCAAAACATAAATAACCAAAACTATGTCATCATATATGTTCAGCACCAAATGAAGCACATATGGAATCAAAGCAGAGAAGTCAAGATGGGTAGAGAGAGAGAGAGAACGATTTCAACAAGCTATAGTATAGTTGTATACCTCCACAGAGGACAGCACTCTCATTATAGTTAATGGTCCAAATGGATGCTTGTCAGACACCATCCTTTTCCTGCTTACAACTTCATTGAAGATGTATCTCAAGAAGTTATTTATAAAATCCCAATATAGCATTTCGAAATACCAGTTCTACTAAACTGACGGGTGTCCAGCAGATCAAGAAACACAATGTAAACACCCAAACAAAAGATTAACATCATTTGAGTTGCATACTTACTTCACAAGATTTCAACAGGGTATCGGGGTACCCAAATCAGAATGCCGAAACACACCCAACTGGATCAGCATGTGCATAATCGATTGTTTCATTGTAAATTTTTGACAGGATGCCGAATAATTTCATAAAATATACAGAAGGTTCAGTAGTAAGCATTTCCCTCACACTCAAATCTTGTCTCCAGCAAATATTATACATTCGGAATTACATTCCCCAAAGATACTGAGGAATCTCTAATAAAGTAAAGTTTTGACCTAGAGTTCATACACATGGGATAATACATCTTTCAGCAAGCCAATTTGCACAAATTCGAAAAACCAACTGTATCATCTATTAAGCTCAGATGGGTAGGAAAGGTGCTGCATTGAAGTAGCTGAAAAAACACTCACTTCTTATGTGGAAAAGCTGATATCTCATTGCTCGGATCATGTTAAACTCCCAACCTGGGATAGAATGATAGAACACATTTTTCCTGCCCAAGTAAGGAGAAATGAGAATGTAGCACTATTAAATGGATTAGCACAGGTCTGATCTTACTTTGCAAAATGAAACAAATAATAAAACGACAGCAATCTCAATTCACTATATTCGTCAAAACATGAAGGCTTTGAGATACTTGGATATATTTTCTAACACGAACTGCTCGGGGTTATTATAGACAATATTGCATGTATATATGAGGAAGATATGTTTAAGGCTGAAAAAATAACGTAAAGAAATAAAATCATAGGCATTGAGAGTTGAGACATCAAATTCCTTATGATAAAATTCATGGAAATATAGTCACACCCCGCTGCAGAAACACAATTACAGAAAGGCATATTTCATTCACAACTGGAGCATTCTTGCCTAAAAGCTATGCAACTCTGATACAGAAATTCAAGCTACAAATGTCCTTATAAATGCAAAGATAATTTTAGTAAGTTTGAATCCAATACCTAGATTGTGTGGTGTTGACTACCAAAGCCATTGGTATGTTTTTTGGGGGGAACCTCAGCACAATCAATTCCATCCTTGTCGTTTATCACCTTACGGTAGTGGCTTACTATCTGCTGATCTAACTTATAATAATGCTCCATTTTCTCCAGTGGTTTCATGTCCAAGTCAACAAAAGAGACCTATATGAAGGTTGGAAACATAAATATATGATTTAAAAATAGCAAGGATAACATTTCATAATGGAACATGAATATACAAGCCTCGAAACACAAAACAAAAAGATTTAATGCCATACAGAAGACAATTATTCTTCAAAGCCAAAATTAAAGAGTTGATGCATTTCTATATATAGTTGGATTGAATTATGTATCTTCAAAGATTTTGCAGTACATAAAGGATCTAAATGTAACAAACACTATGCAACAAAGTTGATGGCCTATGTTCCACATTAAAATAAACTTTTTATATATACAATATACAGAGACAAATAGCTAAATCAGTATACGCATGAATTATACTAAATAGCTAGTAATAGAGTTCAATGAATATCATCTAAATATTCAAATACATTTAGTTGATAACTGCAATTCAAGACTGTGTAAGATAAAGTTAATTCACACCTCAAACTTGAAGCTCTGAATTTCCGTGATTCAGATTCAATTTTAAAACTAGATTCTTTTATGCCCTTGTGTGATCATGCTATTTATCTGCAAGGAGCAATAAGGAATTCACCTTGTAATCAAAAGATTGATTGGTTGATTCCAGAAAGACAGAACTGCGGGAAGGTGCTGTATCCTTATTTTCCCGTGCTCTGAAAGTAATCATCATACTTATGTCCTTTGCAGTGGCAGATATCAAGTAATCTCTCACAACTTTCAACTTTTCATCCCTTGGCATAGAATGTAGTTTTGAATATGTTGCCATCAATTTATTTACACCTTTTTCCTGACAGACGATACAAGGTTTTGCGACAGTGTCGTAGTAGGTATGAATTGCACCTTCAATGTCAAAAGCATCAAGCTTCTGTATTTCAAGAAGCCGATTCAACAACCCCGACTTGATAATAATTTCTGCAACAAGTTCAAGAATATATTTTATATGCATCCCGTCTTTTGCCAGAATAACATGTTTGAGTCCATCCTGGAATACTTGATTAACCATATAACTTGTCTTGTCTAAAGCACCACCCATGCTTCCAAAGATTAGTGAACCATTTAAAAAAACCCTGAAGTTATTCTGAGGAGTATGAAAGAGAGACTCAATCGCTTTATGTATTCTCTCCTTGGATCCCGAAAACATATCCAGTGGATCATATTTACTCACTTGAGAAATCTGTATTAAGAGAATCCCCGTAAGAAATATGCTATGAAAAACTCATGCAAATAAGTTCTCTATACAAAAACAAGAAGCTATCAGCTAATAAACAAAAAGGTAAAGCAAGACACAGCTCAAATGCTGCAACAAAACAAGCACAAGAAAAAATGGTTATCTCAAGATGCAGTAAATCTGAAATGAGGAAAAAACATTACCTTTCCCTGATGAAATTTCAGAGCCTGGTGCATAGTAAAGCGAGAAATTTTCTTTTTGACTGCATTTTCTTCTGCTATAAATTCTGAAATGGGAAGAAACCCACCTTTAGGCTGCTTTGGTAGAGGAGGAAATGAAATATGTTATAAACAGTATACATTAATCAGGACATCAACAAAATTATATGGGGAGAGAATCTTGAAATGAAGATGTTAAGAGAAGCACCTTTATCTCAACTGCGATACAATAGTCCTCTTTGTTAACACCTGGAACTGAAGAATAGAACAGGACAAAAAAAAATGCATAATCAATCTAATCGTGATTATCCATCACAAACAGATCAAGTAACTGCATGCGGTCATAGAAACAAAGCAACCACCAGAGTTATGAATAGACACATTTGAGGACAATATACACCCAGAAAGCTAACATTCTCAATTTGGAATGCTATAGTGTGCATGTAACTTCCATTGGCAATCCATAATTCAATGGCCAGGAAACAGTTCATTTTATTCGTATTCCATGAAGATGAACTCCAGCAGTTATCAACTTACTAAATGGAGAAAACAAGCAGAACAAAACTTACATAAATAAAAATGATATAGGAAGAAAAACAAATCAAACAAGACTTGATTAATTTTTATACATCTCAATCGAGATAGCATAAACAAGACTTCTACAATTGAAATATGACAGTACTAACTCATACCACAAGGAAATGTTGAATGATCAGCAATGAGAAGCACTGAATCACACAGGGGATTGATTTTGGCAGCATCAACCCGCCAAGGAGGGCGCTGGTTGAGAATTTTTCTTTCAATTGCCTCCAAAAATTCTTTAGATGCAAGAACACGGATCTACAAAATCAAATGAAAAGATTAACTTTTCAGTTCAACTAGCTATTGTTGCAATATCTTTTTCAAAAGATAGGGATACATACATATATATATTTACTATAATACAATTCTAGAAAAGAAAGAAAGAAAGAAAAACTAGAAATGCTGGAAAGGGGCCAAAGAAGAAAGAAGGGAAAGGAAAAAATATACTCAAGGCCTATTTGAGCCAATCAACTTTTAGTTTTATTTTGGTGAAACAAATAAAAATTGTAGTTAGTAGTGTCAACATCACGCAATGACCATCATAAAATACAAAAACAACCATTTCAATGAAATAATAAATTAGGCCAAGTATTCAATAGAAAATGGTATGCTATTGTGCAAAGGTCTTCTAAGAGCCATGGAGTAAGGTGTCCAATGCACAGCCAAGCAATATCAAAACTAGCTACAAAAAACTCTCATAATCACATTATTTACTCCTATATAAAATAAATAAAAGGCATAAACTACATAGAAAGAATATATGTAAATAATTAGCACCAAAAGTGGTGCTAAATAAGTGCTGGGTTGTGCCAATTAGAAGACACAATTAAAGGTTGGAGAAACAGATCAAGTGTAATACCCATAAAATTGAATATTCATTTCTTAAAGTCCATTAGAAACAACTCGTTAAAATTCATTTTTTTCCCTGTTTGATTGCTACATCGTTTGATTTCAATAAATTTCCTATGTTAATGAAAAAAAAAAAGTTAATATGCTTACTTTAGAGAAATTTCAAGATGGGTAAAACCTCTTAACAAGTTTCTAAAGGTACACATAGTGGGGATATATGAGGGCACATTTTACTAAATTATAACTTACCCCAGCATCAACGTGTTCAGAACCCAACAGCGGACATATTACTTTCTGAACATATAATTGATCTGCAATTTCCCTTGTAGGAGCTGACACAATTCCTTCATATTGGCTCCACAGGAGATTTTCATGCTTGGTTAGAACTGTCTGACCATTCTCACATGCAGGCTCAGTATTTGAAATTTTTTGAATCCTTAATACCTTCCCAACCTAAAAGAAGGAAGCAAAGAGATATATAATAACAAAAATAAAAACACGCTTCATCAAAGAGCTCTGTGGTTTGAGTTATCTACTCTCAATATATAATAATAATAATAATCATTATTATTATCTTTTAACTATCTTCCTCAATCAAGAGCATTGCATGATTTGAATTATTAAAATGAACTTTAAACAGCCGTGGTCAGTCTTCATTTCCAAACTACACCACCCGTATTTTCGCTTGAGTTTTTTATTTGGTTTTTTGAATATCCCTTGGAAGAATCTGCTGGCAACCAAAAGGGTTTCATTTCCCTTCTGTTGCCTGCAGAAACTCTTGCAACCTTATTAACCAGCTTTTCTGCATCTATCAATGTTCAACGTCAAAGTTTTGATCACCCAGATCATGAATTGTTTTTACATTGCTATTTAGCTCAATATAAGTATTGATGTCCTATAACAAACTGGCTGCCCCCATGTGTGTAGTTTTAACAGAACAAAGATAGATTCTATATTTACAGGGACTCCAGAACATACAAAATTAGGTGAACTTCCGCAATAACCAAGAACCAAGTTCACAGCTCCTTCTCCCCTGTAAACCCAATCCGCCGGATCCTTGGCCTGTAAAGCTGTTGCCATCCACTACACAAATACGAAATAACAAGCAATTTTTGAGATGCAAGGAACTGAATTAGAACCCAAATTTCTATTAACCGGCTGAACTAATTGCATGCAATACAGAATAGCTGGATCATCCGAATTGATTCTAGAGGAGATGACTGTAACATAATGAACAACCTCAAATGAAAAATAAGTAAATAAACCACTTAGATTACAGTTTCACCAAATAATATAAAATACACTAACAAATTAGCCGAAGCGGTATACATATTAAGAACTGAAAACGAAAAAAAAAAAAAAAAACACACGCACGGAAGGAATGAAGAAAGAAAGAAAAATAAGCAAACGCTATTTACAGCGTACGGCGCCGGTCGACAGCGCCGGCCTCAACGTCGTATAACTCCAGCAGTCAGCGCGCCGATTGTGGATGTGTATGGTCTGAAGGTCCAGATTTGAGAAGAAAAGATCAGAGTTGGGTGGAGCACGAATGTAGTGCTGATTCAGGAGTGGGAGCCAGCGAATTGATCAAAGGAAATGCAGATCGTGCTGAGAAAAAGAGATTCTGCGCGCAGTAATTCAAGGGTTGTAGAGAGGGAGAGGGAGAGGGAGTGAGGTTTTTACTTCCAAGAGAGACGAAGAAGAATTTTTAATTGCTTTATTTATTTGTTGTTTTGTTCGGAAATAATTTGCTGGATTAAGGATATGTATGGGTTTTTTTTTATTTATTATTATTATTATTATTATTATTATTATTATTATTATTATTATTCAGTTCTAATTTTTTAATTATATATATTTATTTTTTGTGATAATTGGATTTAAATCCCTTTGCACTAAATAATTTGTGATTCAGTCTCTATTATAAATTTATCATACTGCAACCCTTACTTTTACATTTCAATTGCAAATTACTCCCCATTCTTTATTTTTTTCATTATTATCCTTGATTGTGTGAAAAGTCTTTTATATCCTCATCTCTTTCATTTAAATGTATTGAAAGGAATCCCGGTGCTTATCATAGCAATCTAATCTAGCCTAGGAAAAATATTTAAATGAACCCACCAATCCTGAAGACAACGTATTGTCGATCTGTTGAATATCGAAGAGACAACAACAAGCTGCCAGAGACGAACAATCCAGCGTTGATGGAGCCTAAAATTGTCCGCCTGAAGATGCGCCAGAGTACCGCGGTAAACCGTTGGGCTGGACAATCTTCGTCATCGGTTGTCTTCGATATCATCGATTAAAATATATGCAATCGTAAATGAAATATTTTTCTATTTATTTATTATTTTTGTTTCTTGGTTTCTTTTTAAAAAATATAAAACTTATATAAGTTCTAATGGAATACATTAACATGTAGCTACAAAACTTATTTGATGAAATTCCTTAGTAGATTGTGTCATTGATTTGCGGCTTGTTCGATTTGTTTGATGTATATAGCATTTGATGCTTTTATCTATGCCAATATAAGTTAGTCTTAAGTTAATTCGATTATGAGTTGGATAGATTTATACATATGGCTATTAATATTTGGCAAGAATAGCAAACAACCAGTACATGCGACTTGTTGCCCTGTTAATTTTTTTATATCTGTCTAAGCTTAGAGTGGTCATCTTCATAATTTTTACATCGATTGAATTGGTTTAAAGTTCCCAAATTGATGATGTTAGAAGAAAATTAGGTAAACTTTTGGTGAATTTGCATGAGAGATTTCAGTCATAGATAATTTTCCACTGGCATTAATTTGTTTCGAAAACTATTGAATTAAAATTTTGTTGCAACTGTGATTGTAATTGTTCATATTGATTTTCTTTATAAATTGTAACTATATAGCACTCTCACCTTTGTTGCAGGTAAGGACTTTCTAAACAATATTCGTGTGAAGTTGGATCTTATTTTCCCAGCATGCTTGGCAATATCTGATGGTATTGCATTAGGTCGACTTGAGGGTTGTTGAAATTCATCCGCCAAAATCAGTGGATGCCTTTCCAGGAATTGTTTTCAACAATTCCAATGTTATTATGGTCTACTGTGCTTCTCTATGAAATATGTTTGTATGTGTTGGAGTTCACGTTTGTTTTTTGTAGTCATTTAACTATTATTTGTAAGTATATTGATATATTAAGGTGGTTACTATCGAGCAAATAGAGGTTTATGAAATATTTATAAAGGAATGTACAATTATGACATACATATATAAAATTTAAATGGAAGTATATGAACAATGAATAAGAGTATATAGAATCATACAAGTTTTGACATATATAAATTTCATTGTTTTTTACAATATTATCGTAATTTTCAATCAATACACGATATATAGTTTTTGAGCTACGTAGATGACCTTATATGCCAATAGATTGGATCTCAAATTGAAGAATGAATAACCCATGCCAATAGATTATCCACCCAAAGATGTGATGACAAAGGAAAGACAATCACTTGTTACATTTAAATTGTGTAAGTGCATCTATACATAAATAAATTAGCCGAGTCATGCCTCATGCAAGTATGCTCATGACCGAATATTGTTGTGTGTGCTATAATGTGAATTACTATGTAATATGTCTAAATATTTTTAATTTGTGGTAGCAATCATGTAATCTAACAATCAGCATAACTCAACTTAGTCATTTATGACTTGTTTAACCATCTACAAATGGAGGTTGAAACTATGATTGTACATATATCATACAATTTAACTAACTTGTTTAGCCATATATACTAAACATGTGTTTTTTTACCTTTTCAAACAATTCAGGGTGTCGCGAAAATACTATCATGATGAATTCATCATTGGTTACCTATAGTAAACGAATACTTCAAACCGAAAATGGTCAGTTTCCCAAGCACATGTTATCAGATATACTCATTACTTAAGCATATGACACCAATATTATAGGTACGTAAGATTTGCGCCAAGGTATGTCGATATTTGATGCAAGTATGTAAGTATGTACTCTATATATAAACACCAACATTCAAGGTATGAATGGTGGTTGTTTAGATATTATCCGTGTAGTAGCAGATATCCATAAATGTGGTTGATTTCATTCGATACTTTGACGGAGGGGCCACGTCACAAACTAAAATTTAATAGTAGATTACAACTTGTTGTTTCAAGTAAATACTACATTTGTCTTGCGTTACTTCGTCAATGTGAATTTAGATTGCATCAACTATTTATTAATTTCATAGCAACACGAATGTAGCTTAATAATGAAAAACATTTTAAACAAGTTCTTTATAACATTTATTGTGTATATATGATAATATTCCCTTTTTTTTTTTTTTTGTAAATGTGTGGTGTTTGTCATTTCATACTTTCCTGGAAGTTGCAAGAATACTATCATGTTGAATTAATCATCAATTACCGTTTACAAGTGAGTATATGATACTCAATACGATCGATTTTTTTAGTAGAGGTTACTAAGGTATAAGTACGTATTTTCGGAGTATTTGATATGATAATACAGGTACACAACAAATAAACAACGACATGTTGATAGTGTATGTAGTTACATAACTATGCATACTGGGTATAAACACTGACAATAGAGGTATATATAATTGTTTCTAAGGTATTATGTGTCAAGTACTAGGTATCTTTGAGTGTAATTGATTTCTCACAGAGGCAGTCAATTCTCTAAAAATGGAGGGTATAAAGGAACTCGATGAGGGCACACCCTTTTTTTTCCTCTATTATACTTTGTTGAAAAGTTCAAGCATTACGTATACATTCAACAAATCATGCCACACTTTCCATGAGATTGCCGTCGAAATTGTAAGACTATTAATACTTATCTTTTAAGTCCATTACATCTAACTTAGCTTTAGGTATGGATAAAGTTAAACCATCATAAAATATTAATTTACCACCTCAAAGCAGTGTGTGTCATTAAAATTTGGATTGTGGAACAATCATAAACGAACGCACGCTTCATGAGTACATTGACAATATGTATGAACATATATATTTTATTTGGGGATATTTTCATGCATATTATGCCGGTATATATATTTTTATTGAAAGTACATCATGAGCATTCAGTTATATTTAATCGAATTTATAAAAACTCCAAGAACAATTCTAACTATTCACATGAGCATTAGGAAATAAAATAGGAGAACCACCGTAACCTACAGACAAATATGAACGACAATACTCAGTTTATTTCCCCCAATTCAATCCCAACAACCGAGATAGTTCCAAAAAAAGTAACTGGGATCATCAATTCCGCTTAAAAACGTTACATACAAATACAAATTACGAAATGAAGTCTACGTTTTAGATGGTGGACCTTTTAAAATTCAGTCAGCAATTTTACCGTGATAAGTTTTCACATCATTGTAGTCGTTACCTAAGCCCCTTTAAAGATGAACCGTCAGGTTTGCATGAGCGTAACACTAGACAAACATTTAGACCAAAGGATCGTAATATAGAGTATTACTTTGATGGCGTCATCTTATGGATTCAAGATCATCTCTCACCATGAGCCAGAGATGAGCTGCGTTCAGGTATATGTAAGGTCATCTACGTAGCTCAACAGAAATATAAGAATAACATAAAGAAACACACCTTTTATGATTATATTGACAAACACGTATGAGTGTATACATTTTAATTAGGGGTATTTTCATGAATATTATGACAGTATATATACTCTTATTGGGAGTATATCGTGAGCAACCCATTATACTTTCGGCGAATTTATAAAAACTCCATGCATAACTCTAACTATTTGCAGAATTATTAAGAAATAACATTGGAGAACTACCATAACCTATAGACAGAAATAAACAACATGTACTCTATTTACTTCCTCCAATTTAATCCCAAAAACCTAGACAATTCTGAATAAAGTTACTAAGATCATCAATTCCACATATAAAATTTAAATATTGCAGTATTATTTACTCTAAAATATGCCAAAGTATAAAATCCAACTTTAATAATATAGGCATACATTACCAAAATGGAAATTAACACACAACTATGAACAAACATACATATTGCAATATTCTATTGAATCATGAAAATATTCTACTATTCGATTCGATATGCGATTTGTTTCGAATCTTAAAATGATATATGTATTCGATTCTAAATAATTTTTAAATTACTCCGAATATTCAATTTGATTTCAATATTAAATATTTAATTTAAGATGTGATTCATTTTTGTCTCATCCGATTCGATTCAAAGCTATTCGATTTAGATTTTTAAATTAAAAATATAACAATAATATTAAGACAACTTGATAATAAAATACAAAATTTTATATTGACACATAAAAGATTTTCGTACTTTAACATAAATATAAATATCATGATATAATTTTAATTATATTATTTATTTATTTATATAAAATTTTAAAATTATTATACTTAATAAATTTAGTTTTTAATACATATATGTATGCTACATTTTATACTATGTATGTATTTTTTTCATTATTGAATTGAATATTTACGAATATGGAATCGAATATTAAAATTTTTATCTATATTCCATTCATATTTGAATCGAATAAAATAAATCTATTCAAATTCGAATCATAAATTTGAATCAAATATCAAATCGAACAAAATTATTTGATTTATTTACAATCTTAGCACGAAAAAGAGGTATAA